TTTTTTTTTTTTTTTTAATATTTTATTCAACTTTGATTTTGAGGATTAAACGACGAAAATTCAAGGAATCCTCATATTCAAAGTTCGAGAAAATGATGAAAAAAAATCGTTTCGAAAAATTTCAAGATGAAATTTCAGTCTTCAGAATAAATTCAATCGTAAAAAGAATATTTAAATTTCTATAATTTAAAAAAAAAAGTATTTCTATTTTTCCACTCTTAAGTTGACAAATGGATTGTTATGTGATTTTTTTTTTTTACGTTCTTCCTTATATTTCGTAGTTTTTTTAATTAAATAGATACAATAAATTAGGAGATAATGAATCGTCGAAGTAAAGTTATATATGAATTTGTAAGAAAAGATTTTAGAACTTAAAGGTACAAAGAAACTTTAAAAGAAAACACAGTAATTATTTCTTAATTTTTCTCTCCGACAGTATATCTTCTGTCAGTTTACTTTCACTGTCGAGTGAAATTATGGTTTTAAAGGAGGAATAAAAAAAAAGCTCGCTACAAGTTGTACCTACTTGGCGTCTATCTAGACACTTTCGCCTCCAAGTCATATATTATTCATCAAGATATGATTGATTGCCATGATTTACGAAGGATAACCCGAAGATGGCTTTCGGCTAGCTGTTATTCTTTTTGGCGAGCAGACTGATCTAATCAAGCGAACTGCTGCGATCCAAAGAAAAAACCCTCCTATTCGACACATACAAAAAAGATACGATTTTTTTAGCTGTCAGAACATTTTAAATATCTCCTTCGATACTTCCCATCCGCATCTTTTCCAACATTTCCCGTCCTCAATACGAACGTGGCGCGTGGCAAAGTGAAAAAGTGAATCTCTCCTCCATCTACCGATGGATCTCTCTTTCAAAAAAAGTCAGAAGCAGACAGTCAGGAGTAAACAGCAAACGGTGCGACTTTGGCTGTTCCAGTGGAAGAAGGTGATGGCCCGTACCACGCGCTCGCGACGAAAAATGGCGAACACGACTGATGCTCCCTCGCCTGCGAGCAGCCTTTTGTCGTCGAGCACGACGGCCCCGTTCACTAGCCCGACATCGACAACCTACTCCACCGAGGGCTATACCTTCAATTACACCGGCCTTCCAAGCTTAGATGGCTACTCATTGGAGGATCTGAATTACACGGAACTCTGGGTGGACGTATGGAATAGCACCGAGGCCAGTAACGTGACCGAGAGGTTAAATACCACTGTACTATCATCGGGAGGAGGCTACTGCGACGAATGGGAGGCAGCGCAGCACAAACTCTTCCAGGTATACACTCTCTATTAAAATTTTCGCAATATGTCGGCAAGGGTTGTTACGATGTTAGAAATTGAACTATGTGGATTCAATAGATTGATGGTAGCAATTACACGTAACCTGGGATAATACAGGGTGATTCTTAAAAATGGTAAACGTATAGGATAAACACATCTGTTACATTTTTTGGAAATACAAGACAAAATATGCTTTAAAAAGTTTTTAGAATGGCATATCGAATAGGAATTTAGTTACAGATTCAATAGATTAGTTACAGATTCAATAGATTCAATAGATTCAATAGATTCAATAGATAGATTCAATAGACAATTACATATAGCCTGAATGATTCTTAAATAGCAAGCATAAAGGTAAATTCTGTTTTTAGAAATACAGGGCAGAATATGTCTAAGAAAGTTTTTAAAATGACATATCAAATAGGAATTTAGCTATAGATTTAATAGATTGATGGTAATAATCACTCGTAATCTGGATAATACAGGGTGATTCTTAAAAATGGTAAACGTATAGGATAAACACATTTGTTACATTTTTTGGAAATGCAGGGCAGAATATGTTTTAAAAAGTTTCTAGAGTGCTGTATCGAAGTTTCTAGAATGCTGTAGGAATTTAGTTACAGATTCAATAGATTGATAGTCATAATTACATGTAGCCTGAATGATTCTTAAATAGCAAGCATAAAGGTAAATTCTGTTTGTAAATTCTGTTGCATTTTTTTAGAAATACAGGGTAGAATATGTTTAAGAAAGTTTTTAAAATGACATATCAAATAGGAATTTAGCTGGATAATACAGGATAATTCTTAAATCCGCGTCTGTATTTTGAATGATGAATATGATTTCTACATATTTTAGTTTTCGTATTATAGATAATTGAAGAAAATGTTACCCCTCAACGCCATGTTACTGCACGCTCTAGCATCGAATTCCGCAATCGCTCGAAAATGTCAAATATTTGTCTCAAATTCATTCTGAATTCATTCGTGTAAGTCGTGCAGATTATTCACCTCAATTGAATATAATTGCTCCGAAAAGTAAAATTTGCCTTAAAAACAAACAAATTTCGTAGATGTGGAACGCTGTATTTTTGAAGTTTAGATTTAACTAATTTTTTCATACAAACTCGTGTATCTTTGTATTTTTTGACATTGGTCAGATTAGATTTGGCGTGCCTGTTAAGGCACAAAATGGAACAACGTTAAACATTTTCTACAATCATTCATAACTTGAAAAACTACATTTATGTAAAGTGTAGCTTCGTGTGACATTTTTCAATCATTATATCGTGCAGATTCATCACTGAAAATTTCAACATTCTCTGTACAGAAAGTGTTGCATCTACTAACCGTCGGAGAAGATTTAAAAGTTTGTCGTTGCAGTCGACGCAATAATTTGCTAGCTGAATTGTTTAATCAAACATCCGGAGAATGGCAGCTTTTAGTAGATTTAGACGAATATCAGGTATTCATTGCTGATCGCTGAACGCTGTGTCACGTTACGCATTTGCTACAACGTGTAATCTTTATCGCTGCTTTTATTTAACGGGCAATCGATTTAAATGATACGATGAAACGCGTCGGGCAACGTGCTATTTC